GAGCCGTGGCATGATTACAGGCTGGAGAGGTAAGGTAGAGATGCAGGCCTTTGGAGATTATTGCTAAGGGGAGGTAATGAGGATCCATTTAAGTATTTTAAACATGGTCAGGAATGCATTCAGATTTGTGTTTTTTTAAAAGATTACTCTGGCCATAGAGTGGAGAAATGATTTGAAAGGGGAAAAATTGGAAACAGTCTAGCAAATGTAGCAAGGAGGATTTGGTGACCAATTACTGTAGCAATAAAGTAGGAGTCAAAGATGACTCCTGAATTCTGGTTAGGGACCCAGTGGACCCAGTGCTGGATTACCCACTAAGCAGAGTAAGCATGTTTTTCAGGCAATCAGCAAAAAGCAAGGGCACCCAAAATGCAGAAATGACGTCTCATGACGTCATGACGACTCATGACGACCTTATGTACAACAGAATGAAACACTGCCCGGTCCTGTGCCATCCTCACGATCCTTGCTATACCTGAGCCCATCGTAGCCACTGGGTCAATCCATCTTGTTGAGGGCCTTCCCCTTTTTCATTGACCCTCCACTTTACCAAGCATGATATCCTGCTTCAGGGAATGGTCCCTTTTGACAACATGACCAAAGTAGGTGAGATGAAGTTCGGTCATTCTCGCTTCCAAGGAGTATTCTGGCTGCACTTCTTCCAGGACAGGTTTGTTAGTTCTTTTAGCAGTCCATGGTACACTCAACATTCTTCGCCAACATCACAACTCAAAAGCATCAACTCTTATTTGGTCTTCCTTATTCATTGTCCAGCTCTCACATGTAATACCATGGCTTGGGTTAGGCGCACCTTAGTCTTCAAGGAGACATCTTTGCTCTTCAGCACTTGAAAGAGATCTTTTGTAGCATATTTTCCCAATGCAATATGTCATCTGATATCTTGACTGCTGCTTCCATTGGTGTTGATTGTAGAACCAAGTAATAGGAAGTCTTTGACAAGTTTTGTGCTTTAGGATCGTTTTTCTTGAATTACAGATTGGGGAGGGGGATCATAATCTTTTCAATGTTTAGAGCCTCCCAGAGAAAGAGACATAATTTACATGATGTAAATTATCTGGGTGGTGACTGGTATCATTTCACTGAGAGAGGGAACACTAACGTCGGTGAAAGTTTGGGCTCCCTGATTTATTAAACTTAACAACAACAATAACAACAAAAACTGACTGTCTTCAAGTCAATTCAACTCATAGCGACCCCTCCTTGGGTTTCCGAGGCGGTATCTCTATGGAAGTAGATTGCCCAATTTTCCTTCCGAGGAGTGGCTGGTGGGTTTGAACCTCCACCCTTCTGGAATGGCATGTTTAGGCTGTCAAGTGACTGACAATCAGGTGGCCTTCTAGGGAGACACCACTGAGCCAGCATGTCTCAGCCCAAATGGAGTGTTTTAGACCCAAGTCAGTATGTTCCACATGTTCAACCAGTGCTAATAGAGGATGAGAGAGTTTATTTGCTTGCAAGAGAGATAATGAGCGCAAGTTGATAAAATGGAGATATAGATTAAGGTAGGAGTTCCTAACCTGTAGTCCAGAACCTCTAAATTATATGCAAAATTGTGTATATGTGTATAGTGCACTTTTAGAGGCAAAAGTTCCACAGCTTTCTTCAGATTTTCAGAATGGTCTTGGTCCCAGAAAGGTTACCAACCACCAAGAGTAGATTTCTTATGAAGTGAATGAAGCTTCCTCTACAGAATTCCTCACTTGCGTGAGACTCTTTGAAGGTTCTACAGAGGAGCCCTAGCATTTTTTATTTGTAATGTTGGGTTGTTTTTACTTAAAGGGAGCCCCCTCCCAAAGTATATAGTCTCTGGCCCCCCAAAATCTGTATCCACTCCTGCCAATTGCAAATTAGGGAATTATCTAACATGAATTAGTGTCTGAAAATGATTCGATCCAAGAGGAATGAGCGTAGAGAAAAGATTGTTAAAGGCCAAAGACTGAGCCAAGAAAGGCAGAAGAAGAAGCAATGTTTAGTCAAGAGAGAATGATTATTAAGGGAGGAGGAGATTCAGACTATGTCAAGGAAGTGGAAAGGGAGGTAGTTATCCATGTTCAACATGAAGAGATACCAGGAAATAGGAAACATAAGAAGACTACAGTAGTTAAGACTAGGGCATCTTTTTTGGAGTGGCAAGAACCAAAGCCAAGCAAAAAGCTGATTGTACCATTTGTATTTATGAAGAAGTAAAAATAGTAATTGAATAATATAAATGGTTGTTGTGGTCCACAAACATGCAGTGGACATAACAGTAATAACTGAAAGCTCCAAACTTTACTGTCCAATTAGCATGTTGTTATTGTTGTTGTTATGTGCCATTGAGTTGGACCCGACTCATAGCAACCCCTCCTTGGGTTTCTGAGGCGGTATCACTACGGACGTAGATTGCCCAACCTTCCTTCCAAGGAGTGGCTGGTGCGTTTGAACCGCCAGCCTTCTGGTTAGCAGTCAAATGGCCAATTAGCATAATATTCATTAATAACGTAACCTCACTGTAAAAATGGAATTTGTGCTGAGGTTAAATTACATAGCATATATGTATCTTTTAAAATGTGTTCTGTAGCAAGCCAAAATTTTGAGTGGCCCTTGTCACCTTCATTCACCTTTCTTTCCTAATCCTTTATATTCTCTCTCACTACGGGAATGCCTTTATTTCTGCCCCATCTCTCTGTCCTCTAACTGGAGATATGGAACACTGAGGGTAGAAAGAAAGAAAGCATGGATGACATTTAAACCTGAAAAGTTTTCAATCCATATGGTTAAGCGAATGTTACCTATAATTCAGACTGAGAGATCGTTTAGTATTTGAATCAAAATGTTCTAAATTGGCCACCCTGACAATTCTGAAGTTGATTGGTTTCAACTAGGTAAACCTGGTTCAGGATGACTTGCCAGTATTGGGAGTGTGAGTAGTATTTTTCTGAGTGGGACATGCAGCCTTATCAGAGATATCTGCACAAATCTCCTGATAACGTTTATTGTGGAATCTACGAGATGCCATTTTGGAATGTTTTCACAATGACTTCTTTCTGGGATGTATTTCCAGAAGGACTGATTTCATTATAGCTTCCAATTTAATATTTTCAGTGATTATATTTTAAAGTCTTTGAATTAAGTGTTGATGTTGTTATTCATAATTGTGTCTCTATTAAAAATTTGCTAATTGAGAAAGACAATGATTTTGAATGGTTAATAGGATAGAATATAATAAGAGCATGGAAAAATGGCTACAAAGTAGAAAGACCAAACCAGGGAACTGGTTTGGGTTTCTTAGTACTAAATAAAATTAATTCAGTGAAAAACAGGAATTTGTTGCTTTTTACTAGCAAAGTGTTGGGTAGGAAATAATTAAAACTGTTTTAGTGTTCAAAATTTGTAATATTATTGATTGGACATTGTGTCCTTTTTGAACGAAGACCAACCGTTTATTAAGATATGCAAAGAAAATATTCTCTATTCTATTTTGGTGAGTAGTGGCTGAAGTCTTAAGAACTTATGAGCAGCCACTTAAGGTGCAACAATTAGTCTCTTCCTGTCTGGAGCAGAGAAGAGTGAAGAAACTCAAAGACACATCAAAACAGTCCAAAGGACTAATGGACCATGTGAATCCTGAGACCAGAAGAAATAGATGGTGCTGGATACCACTGCTGACCACTCTGAAAGGGATCACAGTAGGAGGTTCTGGATAGCGTGGGAGAAAAATGTGGAACAAAACTCAAAATCAAAACAGGCTAACTGGTTGGACAGAGACCGTTGGAACCCCCAAGCCTATGGCCTTTTTTAGTCACCCTTCAAGCCTGGAACCAAACTCACCCCCCAAGGCTTAACTTTCGGCCAAACAATAGACAGGTCTATAAGTTGAACAATAACTCTAGAGAGGTTTGTCATTCTTTAGAACAATCAACCACTCAAGATCAAAAGGGCAGCACTTGCCCAAGGACAAAGTTCAGAAAGCAGGAAAGGATAAGAAAGAAGGAGGATTGGAAATGGGAAACAGAGGGAGGAAGTGGGATGAGTGATGTTACATTGTGGAGATTGCCATCAATGGCATGAAATAAAATGTGTATGAATTGTTGAATGGAAAACTGATTTTCTCTCTAAACTTTCACCCAAAACACAATAAAAAGTTTTTTAAAAAAGATACGCTTTGTAATATAAATATGTAAATTAAAGAAGTTTTAGTTACAAGCATGCCTTGGGGGTATATCAAGGTTCTGTTCCAGACCACTGTCATATAGTGAATATTACAATAAAGAGAGACACAAGAATTTGTTGGTTGCCCAGTACATAAAAAAGTTATGCTTACACAATACTGTAGTGTATTGAGTGTGCAATAGCATTATGAACAAGTTTGAAATATTCTGAGAATTACCAAAATGTGACACAGAGACACAAAGTGAGCACATGCTGAAGGAAGACTAGCCCAAGGAAGGATTGCCACAAACCTTCAGTTTGTAAAAAATGCAGTATCTATGAGGTACAATAAAGCAAACCATAATAAAATGGGGTGTGCTTGTAGCTGATATTTAGCTATGATTAAAATGGAAACAATGCATAACAGTTTTATAGATAGCATAAACATTTTTCTGCTCCTCTCTAATAGTAAACCTTAGCTTTATTTGAATGTAATCAATTTCTATATTGGTAAGTGGTATTTGATCCAGCAAAACCAGCTAAACACAATATACCTTGATATCTATTGGTTACATGATTTAGACTGATAAAGGGCACAAATCAGTTTGACTGAAGTTTTGTTTGAATTGGATTTTGGAAATTTTTTTTTATTATTTGAACATAACGAGTTTGTCAGACTCTCAGCTACTTCTGCAAAGAAAATTAGACTTTCTGCATTTGATACTGATAAAATTGTGTTGGAATCAATTGTCTTTCAATTTTGTAATTGCTTTGCTGAACCTAATTGTACAACTTGTGGATGCCAAAAGTATACCGCAAACAAATACATGTTAACGTTTTGCCTTTAGCCAATAAGAAGAAAGAGAAAGAGCGCCCAGAGATTTCTCTTCCTTCAGACTTTGAACATACGATTCATGTGGGGTTTGATGCAGTCACCGGGGAATTCACTGTAAGTAAGCTCCTTATTTTGTTTTTGCAAGCCATAAAAAATTCCTTTTTGAAAATTGGTTTCAAGAAAGAATTGCCACATCTCAAAATGTGAGACTTAGTGTTTTTGATGATTTCAAGTAAGATGAGTTTTGCCTAGATAATCAAAAATAGAAATAGAGGGTGGCAATACAATTGGCAAAATTATTTTACTTATCTCAACAAAACATCTGGTCCCTCTTTACCCAGTCTTCAACTTGATTGAAAATACTGAGTTACCATGACATATGAGATGAAGTTCTGTGCAGACTAACTCTGCTTGAGACCATTCTTTATCATTTGGAGTGAATAAGAGAATCATCTACTCAATTTTCCCAGTGAGCACAATCCATCTAAATAATTCAGGCTTTACATTGAAACCTGAATTGCCCAGATCAGCTAACCACACTAACCAAAAATATCAGCAAAGTTGACCTATTCTTCCTTTGATTTAAAGAACAAAGTTTATTTTTAGGATCTATTTTGTAGGCCTTAAAAAAAGCAAATCCTGTGTTTCACAAAGAAATATTGATAGATAAATTGTGTATGCTTTAGTAGTTACATGCTGATATATGATAATAAATCCACAATAAATACCAATAAGAATTCTCTGGACATATAATAGCAATAGACCCAGACTTTCTTTGGATGTTTGTAGTACTCAAATAGGACAAGATCTCAGATCTATGACCTTTTATACTTTTTTTTTTTTTTAAGATCTGGCATCTTTTTTTTAGATGGGTGAAGGAAAAGATGTGGCTAGAAACATGTCCCCAGGAAGATCAACTACCTTTTCCATACTAGTAAGGAATTCAATCAAAATGTGTATTCTGAAATAATGAGTAATTTTGCATGTATTTTGGGGAAAAAAAAATCCTTGATAGAACCATTGTCAATTCTTGGGTTGTTACATCAGAGAGAAATTTAGATATTCAATAGTTGAATTTCTTGTTTTGTAACATGATGGTTAGTGATTAGATTGTGTCATGTCATTAAGTGAAAAAAGAGTGAACAAATGAATTTGATTTAGAGAAGTAAACCATGTTACTGAATTGACAGCCAACTTTTCTTTTTTCTTTTTTCCCCTAATTCGGGAAGTAAGCACTATGAGAGTAAAATGGAAACCTTGGCCTTGTACGTGCTGTGAGTTGACCCTTTCTGTGTTCTCAGTAGCTAACAGAAGAGAACGTTAAGAAATATTAATATTGATATAGTTGAGGCATTGGTAGATTTAACCAATTTCATCCTCTAAGTCAGAGATGTTGTTCAAATGCTCTTGAGTTTGAGCCCAACCTCCTTTCTCTACTATAGTTTGAGATTTGTCTCTTAGCGACACCTAAAAAGTAAATAACCACTATAATCACCATCACCACAACAATCGCCATCACTACTACAATCACCATCATTACCACCAGAAAAAAAAAATTATAATCTGAACAATTGTAGATTTTTTTAAACATATAACAAAGGTATAACTTTTTTTCTGACTTTTGAAACTATTAAATAACTTAAGCTTTAGAAAAGTTTTATCTAATTACTCTTCCTTTTTTGTTTTAAGAACTTTATCTTTCTGGTTTTCATCTTCTTATTTTCTCTGTGTTTCTCTTATTTAACCTTCTCTTATGTTTTATTCTTGTCATTCCATATTTTTCTGTTTTTCTTCTGTTTTTTGAGGTGAAAATGTTCTCCTTCACTATTTTTTTTTTTAAATGGCATTCTGGTTTTCTTAACGATGTTTTATTCTTCTCACTTTTTCCAACCTGCTTGACATCTTATGTACATACAATCTCGCTATCTTTAACTTTCTTTATGCTTTTCTGGGTTCTGACTGGAAATGAAGGAAAGTGAATCACCACCAGCTGACTGAAGCACCAACCATTTTCACTTTATAGTCAATTAAAACCCAAAGAACTAATCAGAGGGGTGTGGGGTAGAATGTGATGGGACAGTCTTTCCAATTATTTGAGAAACAATCTGATACAATCAAACTAAACCAAACACAAAGAACTGTTCTCAAACCCCAAAAACTCAATCTGAAATGAAATAGCTGTTTGAATGCAGTCAGTTATTAGTTGGTTATCGATTATATATAGACAGACACAGACTAAATTTCTAAATCTAAAATACTTTATTTTAGTTCTGAAGATCTTCTATAACTATTTGTCCACATATTTTTAAATTCTGTCTTAATCTCTGATTGAGATTTGCTAGGTTATTATGTTTACCAAGTTAAAAAGTACCAAATGATAATAAATCTTTAAAAATAATTTTATTGGTAGGACTTAGAACTAGGTCCTAATTACTACAGTACCTCTAATTCCTAATCCATTGAGTGTGTGTTGATGAAGGTCATATTACTAATTTTGACTGTTACAGTTGTTGAGGTTGAATGTTGAGCGATTTGTTGAACTGTCTAGTCCATTTGTTTTACAAGGTTGTATTATTTTGAGTATTTAGACACTGATTCTGTGTGTTGTCCGGTGCATACACTATAGTTGATTGACCCATATAATCATGCACCCTTTGGGCACTAAAGCTAAATTAAGTTGGGAGATGAAATTTGAGGTATTAAATTATTTAAGTCCTTACCCTTTATATTACCATTTTTGTCCCAAATACTTCAGAACTCCCCTTTCCAGACCTCTAGACCTGTGACAGTCGCTTCAAGTCAATCAGAGGGAAAAATGGTATGAGTGATATACATTGTCATTTCTTATGATAAGATATATGCTTGGCCTGTTATATCATGCTGCCATTCTCCTGGGCTACACTAGAAAATCCCCAGCTTGGTGTATGTCTAGTTGTTATTGTATACATGGTCAGGCATTGATATGTGCTCCTGCTTCTGATGCTCAAAATCCTAGGTCTCCATTAGCTGTCTAGCTTTGGGGATTGGTATCTCAATTTAGAGTAACATGATGGTTTCTGACTATCTGCCTTTGTGGCAAATATTCAAAGTTAAGTATCAGGTTTCATTGATTAAGTGGCTTGTCTCAACTTAAAAAGGCAATTATGTCTGCAGTATAGCCATGTGGTAAGTATAGTTATCTGGAGGACCTTCTGCAATTGACAGCATATTTTCCTTGCTGTCTAGTGATGACACGACTATTTATTTATCACAAAAGTTTAGAAGTGCCATGAAAATGTATAGTAACTGCAAATATTTTAATGATGATGATAATAATCATGCCATGATATCTGCTCTAGTGGTTATGTGCAATGCATTCCTGGTTCTGTAACACTTAATAACTCCTCTGGCCATTACAGTATTAACCAAATGCTATTAATTGCACTTAGAGTCAGATCTGAGATCGTGCATGGGCTCCTGAGTTCAACTTTTTGGCTTAAGGCTTTAGCATCATATGCGTGATGAATGCATGTAAAAAAAAAAAAGTTCTTTCACTGTGCTTGGAGTAACCCCAAATGCCAGGAATCAAGGACCTACATCTTAAATCAAATCATTTGGGTCGAAGCATGTTTCTGTAGTTCTGGAGATATATTTTTGTTTAGACAAAGCTGGTACCTTATATCTGATCTTATTTTGTGGGAAATGGGACTTGGGAACTGCCACATTAAAACAGAAAATTTTCATGTATGGTTTGAAATGAAACGATTTCCCTTTCCTTGGTCTTAATTGTCTAAGACACTCAAACGTAGAGTCTGGCTGTGTGGAAACATCCTTAATCTAGTTTTTGCTAAGCCAGCCATTACTTTAGCTAGAACAATAGAATCACATCAGGGAGAATAAATGTTAAATTCAGCATTGCCATATAGCCATCCTTTGGATTTTAGCCACTTAGACATTTCCAATGTGAAACTGGAACTGGTTAACCAGAATTTGGAACTGAAATTTGTAAGTTCATCACATGGCCATTGGCTACCTGTGATCACCTAGCTATAAAACCAACTTACAAATTATCGTCAAAGATTTTCATGATGCCATCCTTCTTTCCTCCAAATTCATGTTTCTGCCTTTTAGTAATTTCTCCAGTCATTTAATGGTAATTTTTATTTATGGAGGAAGTATCTGGCCAAAGGTGGAGTTATCCATCCAAACTTTGGAATGTTGTCATTTTCTCTGTTTTCTTAAATCTGTTGTCCTGTAGCCTGTCCTGCCCCTGATTTAGTTAATACCTCCCTAATTCATAATTGCCCCATTTTAGAAGGGATCCCCCCCATTCAAACCCATTGGTTTCATCTCCTTCCCACCTTCTAAGTTGTCCCACATTCTGTTTTAACTTTCTTTTCTTTCTTTATTTACGTCCATTACAGCCAGATCTCTATGGCTCACAGATGTGCCCAGGGAAGCTCCCAGAGGTGCGTCACAGGCCCAAAAGAAGCTTGCATCAAAGTGCTTCTTTGAGATGTCATAGCACTGCAGCAGCAGGTTCATGTGTGTGCAGTAGAGTTGTTGCTTGGCTTATCTCACTTTTTTGTTGTCATTCCCAAACTCTGGAGGCCCACGTCACACATTGTTTTGCCGAGACTTCATGGGACAAAGCCACATAAATTGTATCTAGATGCACTCCAGGAATAGTGTATCTGTTTTTCTCTCCAAGTTGCTCTTGGAGTTCGGATAAATATGAAATGGAGACATCTGCAGGCTGAACATATAGGAAAGAATGCTGAATGCTCTATGCAAAACTAATCTCTCTGTGTAATTTTTACAACTCTCCTTGATTAGAGTTCCAAATACTCCCTCCTCTCTGCTCTAAATACTTTAGATTACTGCAAATTCTCACAAGGTTTTGGCATGGTTTTTGTGGTCCCCAGGTTCTTTGTGCCAATGAATGGAGAGGAGGAAAAGGAAGAAGGAGAAAAGGAGAAAGAGGACATGCCCTGGAGAAAGCTGCAGGGAAAATGCCCAAAGCAGCACTAATGTACTACTTAGCATCTCAGTGGTTATTGCTCCTCCACATTTCTATTTTTGTCTCCTCCCAGTCCCCCTTTCTATTAAAGCTCTAGATCCAAAAAATTACATTTTGTAACCACAAAGTATAAACTGACCAAGGGTGAGGACTTTCCCTTATGGCAAAAGATATTCTGATTGAAATCTGCCCAGAAACAGTTTATGTTATTCAGTCTTATAAAATCCGTTGATCCGCACTGTACTATGCTGTGCACAAATTTAGAGAAGTCTTGCTATGTCTGCCCTGAGTCACCAGAAAAAAAAAGCTAAGCTGTAAAACATCATTTCATGGATGAGCAGAGTCAATATGGAGGTGATTTTCATGTGCTTTTTTTTTTTCTATCACAGTCATACTCCCACCCACCCTTTTTTAAGTTGGATCCTAGTTTTACCTATGTGTTTTGATTAGAGAAGAGAATGATTGCATTGTTAAGTTACTAACTTTAAATCTAGAGTGTAACTTCAGTTTCCCAAGTGTAATCCTACAGGTAGCATGGGCTTCTTGGTGAAGAACTGTACTGGAACCTGAAAATGAAACTGCTGAATGTTCTGAGCTGCCATTCTTTCCCTTTGGTTGTCCACAGGGAATTCCTGAGCAATGGGCACGATTACTCCAAACCTCCAACATAACAAAACTGGAACAGAAGAAGAACCCACAAGCTGTTCTAGATGTTCTCAAATTCTATGATTCCAAAGAAACAGTTAACAACCAGAAATACATGAGCTTTACATCAGGAGGTAAGAGGAAGTGTAGGTATCCAAAAGCAAAGAAGTAATTCCAGTCTTAGGGTCCCATGATGAAAACACTCCTGTAGGGCTTTGGAGTCAGTTCCAGTTTCTTCTCCAAATGTCTTCAACATAAGCAAACTGAAAGATGAGTTAGAAGTTGAAGGTGATGTTAGGAGATTTATATTACTTGAGTGAGGTTTAGAACCAAATAAGAGAATTGTTCAGTGAAGCAGTAGTTGTCACTTTCAATCAGCCATTGCAGTTATTTCTTTGTTTTTTTGCTGACATGAAGACACTCGGTCACTTAGGATTAGGTTTAGTGGTGTGTTCATGAAATAAGAGTTATATAGAGCAAACCATGGTCTCTTGAGGTTTATTTTATCTGTTAGATTCATTGCTTTGCCCCATGATGACACAGCACAAATTTTGTGATTTCCAGATTTTTTTTTTAATTATTTTATTTTGATTTGGGCGAAGATTTAAAGAGTAAATTCACTTTTCATACAGCAGTTCACATATACTTTGTCTCATGTCATTGACCAAAATTTACCACGATGCAACAGCTCCCCTCCCACTTCCTCCCCATAGTTACCTCTTCCCAGTGTCCATCCCTCCATACTCTCCTGCCCCCTGAGCTGTCTCCCTGTGCATAAGCAGCCCTTACTTTTCCCACGATTGTTCTCTCCAGGGATTTCCAGATTATTTTGATGAAACCACAAATTCAGACTGAAAAAGGAAACCATGTCTTGCTATCAAGAGTGATCAAATTAGCCATGTAACTGCCAAATCTCCATGCTATTTGCTCATGTATATACTTGGCCTTTGTTTGGAGCTTTGATGTTCAAATTTGCACAGTGAACAGTTGAAAAACATGTACCAAAATTTTTTTTTTTTCATTTTGAGAAAGATCATCATCTGGCATGTCTCTCTAGAACAACTTATTATTTAATACCTAAAGAAAGAAGAGGAAGCCCTGGTGCCACAACAGTTAAGCGCTTGGCTACTAACTGAAAGGGTGGCAGTTTGAACCCACCAGCTGCTCTACAGAAAAGACATGTGGCAGTCTGCTTCCATAAAGATTTACGACCTTGGAAACCCCATAGAGCAGTTCTATTCTGTCCTACAGGACCGCTATGTGTCATAATCAACAACTTGGCAAACAGCAACAAAGAAAGAAGGGAATACTGTCATTAATGCCTCAGCTATAAAGGTATATCTACCTCATGACATTGGATTCAGTATAGGATAGTCTAGAAATCTCTTTAAGAACAACACAGGGATACACTTGGACCAGTCAAGTGTAGAGTTGTCTGATTTGGCTACATCAAATATCAAAGTTCAAACTGGAGGGCATATGCCATTCAACATGCTAAATAGGATTTTATTTATTTGTTTATTTTTAATGAGAAGATTGCTTAACTGCTGCTATTCAAAGTTGAAAACACAATAAAACTGTCAAGGACAGCTTTTTTTTATGATGCTTAGTTTTCCATGAGAAATAAAATACCTAAGAGAACTTGGTGACACATTAAGCAATGCTTAAAATAAAAGAGAGCAAGAGTAGTGCTTCAGGTTCAGTGTAGACCCATAGGTGATTTCTAGAGGCCATTTTAGTGTAACCATTAACACCTTCAGATTCTCAGAGTTTGTTCTTCACTTCAAGTAGCCACTACTGTTTAACCCTTTGGCTTTCTCTCTCTCTTCCAAAGATGAAATCCTGACAACTGATGTTAGAACTTAATAGTATCTGAATTATTGCACTATACTGAGTTGAATGAAAGTCACCATTTGTCTTCTGAATGCTCTAGTGTTGAGACTTATGGGGTAGGAGGGAAAGGAGAAGGAGGAGAGGGAGAGAGGAAGGCAGGCTGGGAGGGAGGGAGAGAAGGAGGAGGGGAGGAGAAAGGGAGAAAGAGGAAGGCAGGGACAAAGGGGAAGAGTGTAGGAGAGAGGGAGAGGGGAAAGAGGGAATGGGAGAGAAATCCTGGATATAGATGTGTAGAATTCGGGAGCAGGTAATCTCCCCATCCCTCCATATAGATGATATTCACTGTGTGCAAAATGCCTTTGTGAGAATATGATGAGGTTGAAAGCTATTTTAAGAAAAACAAGCTATGTCATTTGTCATAATACCTATTTAATACTGAATTGGTGAGTTTCCTTTTGGTCAAAGGTATGCAGTTTTGTTGCTGTTGTTTTTCTTTTTTGAAATGAATTCTAAATGAGGGAATCTTTATGAAATAATATTGACTTCTTGATCCTCACTTTTCAGATAAAAGTGCACATGGATACATAGCAGCCCATCCTTCGGTAAGTGAAAAATCCAAAACTTTCACGTGATTGGTGTTTACAGGGGTCCAACAAAATTACACTTGCACAGATCCAGTTTTTAAATATAGGATCATTTTTTAAAAAATCTCATCTTATTAAGGTATAATTTAGATACAAAAATTTTACTTATTTTTAAGTGAATGATTTAATCAGTTTTAGTAAATTCATGCACTTGTACTACTGTCACCACAATCCATTTATCACCCTGATAAGATCCCTCATGCCTGGTTATAGTCAATCTCCACCCCCACCTCAGCCCTAATCCTATTTAGTGTAAATGGAATCTTAGAGATTGGAGATTGGCTTTTTTCACTCAGCATAATTACTGGAGAGTCATCCAAGTTATTTTATGTATCAGTGATTTGCTTCTTTTTATTGCTGAATGGTATTCCATGGTATAGATGTACCAGTTTGTTTAACCATTCACCCATTGAAGGACAACTTGGCTCTTTTCCAATTTTATGATCATTAAGAATAAACCTGCAATGAGTATTCATCTACAAGTCTACATGTACATGGAAATGTTTTTACTTCTCTTACATATAATATCTGGATCATAATAATCATAGTAATAGCAGCTCAAACACTGAGCTAATCCTTTCATGAATTCATTCACTTAATCTTCCTACAATTCAATGAGCCAAGTCTTACTGTTGTCCCCATTTTACAGATGAGCAAACTGAGGTTTAGAAAGATGAAATAACATGTCTCAGGTCACCCCACTGTACTATCTTTTACTGTCACCTATTCCCACAAACTGAGGCACATATGTGGAAGTGACTTTGCCAAAAGTCACACAGCTAGTTTTAGCAGAGAAGTTACTAGAACTTAAGTAAACTAGTTAAAAGTCCTTGTTGTTGTTGTTATGTGCCATCGAGTCAGCCCCGACTCATAGCGACCCCTCCTTGGGTTTCCAAGGCAGTATC